GGCTCTCTCAAGTGAAAAATTACCTTATTTGATAACAATACGGCTATATTGAGATTATTTCAGGAATAGGCATACACTGTAATATTTTGAGACGAATAGTTAAGCTACCAGTCCTACTCCATAACCCCAATAACTATTCCTTTCCGTTTTTCATCTAGATATAATGGATGCCCCGCCGAAAATGGTTGTTCCCTTTGCAGGTACATGTTTGTAAATTCAAAATCATTTCTATATTATACGCTTAATTAGTCCGGTAAGAATTGGCTAGGATAATTTGAATACTATAAAAGAATTGTTTAAGTGCCCATTCTCAGCCGTTTGAGGGCGCTGTTCCAGTTTACTGGTAGAGCAGTACGGATTTAAAAAAAAAAAAAAAAAAAAAATTGGGGGGGTGTTTATGTAGTTCGTGAAACAGTAGTTTTAATTTGACAAAAACAAAACTTAATATCGTGCAGATATTTTCACATTTAACCAACAATACTGGTATCAGACCGATTCGTTTGTGCACATTGGAAAATACAGTATTGTTTTATATGGATGGGATGATTTCTATATTCCACTTTGCCCGCTAGTTGCGATTTTCTGTTAGAAATCAATACATTGATTGCCTTTTCATTAGCAGTTCAAAGCTAGAGACAAACTCATCTTAATTGGGTAAATATACAGTAAAATTTAAAAATAAATATTTTGCTCACCAATGTAGAACAATGTGTAGTGCTGAAAGGGAGTGAAATGACCGAAAGTGTTATCAGAAATGACCAACTCCAACGAATTTAACACTACCCAAAATTTAGATTGTGTTCTTGGCAAAGAAAGCCCCCCAAATGGTGTTCTTATTCGCCCAACCAAAAACGCAACTAGCATTTTCAGAGCTGTAATATCTCTGGCTTGCACTGTCGAATTTGTATGAAATTTAGTGGACAAGACTATACATGACCTTAACAACGCTACGAAAATTGAATTATCTATTATAACATTTCTTTTTTAGACATTGGGTGAAGTTCTTTATGCACAATGTTTATTAGATCACATTGTATACCCGTCCACAAACTGCAATTATTTTCAAGCTGCGTCCAGAAATTTAAAGCATATTAATACATGCCTAATTCATTTTTTTTTAACTTCCATAATTGATTGACTGCTTTGAATTTTCTTCAGTAGCTGAAAGGAAGGCCATTGTTGACAAGGAAATTCCTGAATTGACAAGAGGTAAGTCAAAGGTCATGTCCCGGGGCGGATCAAGGATATTCCAAAAGGGGGTGTGATGTAACATGCTGCAAATGGTGAAGGCAGGTTGTGGCGCCTACGCCGAAGGCTGCACACCGCGCCGGTATGGGCTCCGTGCGCCGACAAGGGGGCGCCCTTTTAGCTAAGAACGACGTCTCATGGGCGAGACATTTCGCTGCTTGACGGGCACTCTTCCTTAAATGTGTGACGCACGTACACCAGGGGGTTTGTTTTTGCATGTGGTGTCGGTTAAAAACAGAATCAATTCGCGCGCCGTGAGTTACGAAAACACGATTGTTTTCGAAGTTAAAATGTTACAATTATCCCGCCAATATAAGTATGACATTTCATGTTAATATGAGCAAATTGGAAAGGAAAGGAGTATTATTGAGAAGGCGTGGACGTTATAGTTACAATGATCGTGAAAATACGCACTGCATGTTGTAAATAACAACACCAAGTACACGATACAATTATAAATCCATGTACTAGCCAATTGCAGTATCGAATAAGGATACAGGAAGAAAGTTCTCTATCCAGGGCTTACTATTAGAAACGAGGTTGGAAATAAGCACTGGGGACGAGGTTGCCTTTAAAGCATTTTAAAGTACGGACGTCGTCGAGCTACCACATAGTGGATAGCGTGATGAGCTATACAAAGATCCCTGGTTCGAATGCACGTCGTTACTGCTCATTTTCATCCACTACTTTTCCTCTCTGAATTTATCTTTTTTTTTTTTTTTTAATTTTAGGGGGACAAAAAGAGAACGAGAACCTTAGTGTCTTACAACGACTCAAAAGAAAACTGAATTATGCATGTCATCATTATTTTGAGCAACCCACCTACGGAAAACAAATTCGCGGCCCGCGGTCTGCTTAAAGGGACTTGGAAAAATGTTATCATTTAAACATCGTTTTCGAGTTTGGAGTCATTGAATCACCGGTACGGTTTTCACCGTGTTGCGGAGACCGCAACGTTACCCGCAAAGTCCTACACATGCACATGCCCGATTCTGTTCTATAGAAATCGGTTACATTATGACCAGGGTGACCGTAAGGTCAGAGCCAAATTCTGCTGAATGCACATCAAAAATCTGCCAAATTCCCCAGAATTATTCGAAATACACTATAAACACTTAAACTCACATGCAGAGTGGTAGTATTGCCTTATTTAAGGTTCCAATTACATTATAAACAATCTATAGTCTAATACAGATGTTGGACGTACGCGGATCCAGCCAGGACGAAGTTCCCAGTAAACCTCAGCACCTAGACCAGCCAACCAGCCCCATTATGCAAGGGTTTGTCTGAAAGGGTTGAAGCGTTTTAAAACAAATGTACACATTTTTGTTCAAATTTGCTGTTTTTCTGTTAAATAACCATTTTTGCAGAAATCTGCCAAAAAAAATCCATTCTGTCAAATTCTTTTACATAACACTTCGTACAAGTCTTCAGAGGGTATGCATTCCTTTCAGGTGCCAGGCATGCGGATCACACAATACATTCAAAGAATCTATAGTAATTCAAACGAGGTAATGTAGCGTGGGTATATAAACCCCGGCTGAAAGGAGCCAGCATATTTTCTTCGTGTGATAGGCATAGCGAAAAGAGCTGAACAGTTCAGCTCCTTGTTCATTGTAATAATGAATACTGACTCGTCCGAAGACGACATTAAATCACTCCAACCAGGCCAAGGTAAGCCTAGTTCTCGCCGGGACATCGATGCTCGGTTACAGGCCAATGCCGACGGAGTATCCAGAAGTTATCGGCTTCTGTTAATGCCGTGCAAGAGATGCTGGCATCAGTGGTTCATTCCCGTGACTTATCTGGACGTGCGAAGCACGCCGGCCCCAGCAACTCCGCTGGTAGTCCACCCCAGTTTGACGAGGTCTCGGCTCAATACGACGAGGAGTTTGTAGACGAGCTACTAAGTCAGGAAGCTGTGGCATACGACCCAGCTCAATCTGAGTTTGACCTGACCAGTGTACTGGCGGATAACCAAGCCATTACAGCGCAAGCTGATTTTGACGTTCTTCCAAGTGAAGATATTTACAATGACAGTGAGGCTAAAGGCCCTGAGATATTTAACAACCTAGCAGAAAGAGCTGTAAAAGCGGTAACTCTGCCAATCAAGAAAGAGACGTATGCAAAAAATTGCAGAAAAATACGTTACACCGTCAAATGCGGTAGCTGTGTCGGCACCCAGAATAGACAGTGAACTTTGGGGAACCATCCCCGCCTCAGCTAAATCCAAGGACGTGATCTTACAGGAAATCCAAAAACAAGTTATCAAAGGTTTGCTTCCTTACTGCAAAATGTTGACTGAATTGCGTGATGTAACAAAGTCAGGCCAAGTTGTGAACATTGACAAGTTAAAGGAACTTGCTTAAGATGGCATTACCCTTGCAGGGAACGCCTCTTATGAACTAAGTATGAGACGTCGAGAGGAACTGAAACAAGTCCTCAACCCCATGTATCGCGGTCCGTGTTCCTGCAATACTCCCGTCTCAGAAATGCTGTTCGGGAAAGACATGAATAATACAATGAAACAGTAACTGAAGCCTACAAAGCAGGCAAAAAATTGACCTCAGACGAGAGGAAAAATCAGTCTTCCTATCGCCGTTATGTGCCTTATAACTAGCAGAGAACAGGCAAAGGCTCGTCCGCAAACTACAGCGGACCCACTGGAGACAGACGCTTCTGGCGTTCATCTTCTCGGGGTTCGAATGTTCCCCAACACAGCCGTGGGCGATGCACCTGGCAGCAGAGATCTAACAAACCATCTAGTGCAACGAAGCCTACTTCAGAAAAAACGGGTATGTAAAATCAGACCTGCTATCCTCTCCATTGGCAAGTGCCGGGGGACTAAAATTACACAAGGGCGATTGGTCTCAAATCACTTCTGATAGGTGGATTCTCAACACCATATCAGGTTGTAAAATTGATTTCTTGAGCTTTCCAATTCAAACCTCAAAACCTCAAAAGAAATCCTTCTGTGATCAAGAATCACTTGTGATCAATACTGAGATAAGTGAATTACTGCACAAAGGTGCAATCAAAGAAGTTCCTTTGGCTGAATGCCAGTTTCTGTCAAACATTTTTCTGATAGCGAAAAACACAGGTGGATTGAGACCAGTTATTAATTTGAAAAAATCTTAACAAATTTGTGTCGTACGAGCTTTTCAAAATGGAAAATATCAAGCTTGTGAAAAACCTAATTCAAGTTAATAACTTTCTCACGGCAATTGACCTGAAAGATGCTTATTTTTCTATTCCAATGTGTGAGAAGGATCAACCTTATCTTTGCTTCTCTTGGGCAGATTTTTTTTTCTGCTTTTAACTTGCCTACCATTTGGCTTATCATCAGCCCCTAGAATTTTTACTAAGGTTATGAAACCTACAGTAGCATCAGCGAGAAGTCGAAGTATTCGCTTGGTCATTTATTTAGATGACATCCTCATCATGTCTTCTTCAAAAGAAGAAAGCACCACAAACACTAATTTCGTGATAAACCTACCCCAAAATCTTGGATTTGAAATTAATTATAAAAAATGTTGTTTCATCCCTGAAACAAAAGTGACATACTTGGGATTCGTAATCGACTCAGAATCTATGTCAATTCACATCCCTAAAAGTAAGGTGGAAAAAGTCAAGTTGGAATGTAGACAGTTAATTTCCGCAAGGAAACTTACATTACCGACAGATGGAAGTTGCCAAAGTTAAAGCACTTTAGTCTGAATCGGGTAATTATGATGCCCATATTGATACCACACCATTTCTTGAAGAAATTCAGTGGTGGTTGACGGTTTCCTCTGATGGAGTATATTGTAATATAAAATTACCATCCATCGATATTGTTATCTTCACAGATGCCAGTAAACTGGGATGGGGAGCAGTCTGTCATACAGACAATTCTTATGCACAGGGTAAGTGAAAAGACATCCATAAAAAGCTTCATATTAATGTGTTGGAGCTCCTGGCTGTGCAAAATGCACTGCTCAGTCTGTGTTCACAGGTGCAAAACGCACATGTTCTCATAAAATCAGATAACAGCAAGGCTGTATCATGCATCTCCAAAATGGGGGGATCTATGGTTTCCGTAAACCAGATTTCGACCACAATTTTAAGTGGTGTTTGCAAAAGAATTTTCACTTATCTGCAACTCACATTGCTGGAAAACCAATGTCACGGCCGATCTTCTTTCTCGTAAAGAGTTGAACAAAGAAATAAGTATCAAGTGTGTAGTCTTTGATCATATTGTCAAGCATACCTTCTGCCCTGACGTTGACCTTTTCGCATCTTGTGAAAATCGAAAATTGAATCAGAAGATCCATATGCTTGGGCTGTAGATGCGTTTACAATTTCATGGGGGACTTTATCTCCTTATATTTTCCCTCCATTTTGTTTGCTACCCAGAATCCTGGACAAGATTTCCAGAGACAGAACAGACTTATGTCTAGTAATCGCCCCCTTGTGGCCAACCCAAGCCTGGTTCCCTCAGCTACTCTCAATGTGTGTAGCACAACCAATCAAACTGCCACAGACTGCTCTGAACCAACCTCAGCAAATCCAACCTCTGAATCTAAGATTAGCCGCTTGGACCATCTCAGGCAACGATGGAAAGCAGAGGGACTTTCGAGTGACGCTACCAAGCTCATCTCAAGTTCCTGGAGACAGGGCACAGAAAAACATTACGAGTCTGCCTGGAAATGTTGGGTTAGCTGGTGCAGTGGAAGGAAAATTGAGCCATTTGCGTCATCTGTTCTAGATATTGCTAATTTTCTGGCTCACGAATATTCAGAAGGAAAGTCTTACTCTACCTTAAATTTGTACAGGTAAGCATTGTCAATGACTCTGCCTTTAACAGGAGGTCATCCTGTTGGGCAACACCCTCTCATTGTTCGCCTACTAAAAGGAATTTTTAATTCCACACCACCAAAACCAAGATATTCAAAAATGTGGAAAGTATCTACTTTATCAGATCACATTTCAAGTTTACCTGATAATAAAGTTCTTTCGCAACTCATCATTAGCGAAAAATTGGTTAGCCTGTTGGCTCTCGTAACCGCACAGCGAACTCAGACGCTTGCGGCCCTAAACATACGATATTTTGACCTTTCAGATAATTGTTGTTATATTACAGTTATGGAATTACTTTAAACTAACTGTCCTAAGAGAGGTATCTCTTAGGACAAACCATAAGTTATGCGTTTTTTCTACCTTGAAAGATTACCTTGGCAGAACAGAAAAGATAAGAAGTTCTGTCACTGAACTATTTATTTCCACTAGAAAACCACATAAAGGTGTGATAACTGGTACATTGGCAAGATGGATGAAAAGTATACTCCGTGCAGCAGGGATAGACACAAATGTCTATACTGCTCATAGTTTCAGAAGTGCATCAACTTCAACTGCTTTAGCTCAGGGTGTATCACTTCAAGATATACTTCATACTGCAGACTGGACTAATGCCAGTACCTTTGCAAGGTTCTACAACAAAGGAACAGAAGATTCAACCTTTGCAGCTTCAGTTCTTAGTGCAAACTAATTGAAAGAGTCGTTTAAAAATGTTTTATTTTTTTGTCATGCACGAGTATTGGGACAGTTATTTTGTAATCTGTCTGCTTGTATTTTGTCTAAGTATCAAAGATAAATATAAATTAGGTTACATTATCAGGGATAATGGTTCTTTTATGTGAACAGTAATACTGACAAATAAAGAATCGTTTGGATTCATGACATTATGTTCTGGTCTTGAACTCACTTTTTTTTGGTTGAGCTTTGAACATGCATACCCTCTGAAGACTTGTACGAAGTGTTATGTAATAGAATTCAAAAATTATGTAAATATGAAATATAATTTGAATTTTATGAATAATAATGAAGTACAAGTCGAAGAGGGTTCCCACCCAACATAGTGCGCTAGTTTACTCAGACTTTATGTTGTTTACACCCACCCTATAAAAAAGGGGGTTCGTTCTATTTAATCTGGACTTTGAAAAGATGCTGGCTCCTTTCAGCCGGGGGTTTATATACCAATGCTACACTACCTCATTTGAATTACTATAGATTCTTTGAATGTATTGTGTGATCCGCATGCCTGACACCTGAAAGGAATGCATACCCTCTGAAGACTTGTACTTCATTATTATTCATAGAATTCAAATTATATTTCATATTTCATATTCACATAATTTTTGAATTTTCTGTCAAACTCGTTTTTTAACAAATTTTCTGTCAAAGTTAGCAGAAAATCGGCTAAAACGGTCACCCTGATTATGACCAGTCACATGATGGCCAGTCACTGATAGCAACATGCGGCAATTTTGAATCATGTGACTTCCTTCGTGAATCTGATAGGTTAACATAAATATCGCGTCCGATGAAATCGGATTGCTGCCAGCACACTTTTCCGGTGACATCGGATCCGATGAAATCGAATGCGAAAAAAATCAAAACCTGTTTGATTTCATCCAGTCGCACACCCGGTGAATGGTAAGATCGGTCCGAATTTTTAGCGTGCACCTACCTTAGTACCATGGCCCGATAATCCGGTGAACCGGTAAAAACGGAAACTACAGGTGTGTGTGTGTGTGTGCTGGGCTTAGCTAGGTTCGACTACCCTTGCCACACACACGCTAAACTACTATCCGTTTTCATAATTATAACACTTTTGCTGGCGAAGGTTGGAAGCCAGGAGCAGGATTGCGAGCTCGTATTTCTGTGAAATTTGAATGAAGTTGGGCTCTGAAATCGCACTATTTTTTAATTGAGCGCAGGCATCATTTTTTTTCTAAATAGTGATCACCCTGGCTATAATGATGACTACATCTTTGGATGAAATTTCTCCCAAAAGTCATTGAACAGAAAATAAGAAATGATGAAATAAGCTTTAATTAACAGGAAACACAAAGTGAGTAATTAGACTCAGTATCGTAAAGAATGAGTCATTTTGTCCGTATAGTGACACACTTTGGCTCAAAGTGTCTCACTACACGGACAAAATGACTCAATTATTACGATATTGAGTCAAAGTACTCACTTTGTGTTTTCTGTGTTGGGCGTATTTATCACTGTGGTCTATGGCAGTTTATTTACTAGTCTGCAACCATATTTAGACCGTAGATGGCGCTATATGCCACCTTCTCAATCACACTGATCACACGTAATTCGCATTGAGATCGCGAGTGTCAAACGTAGACTGCACACACAAAACAATATCGTTTTGGGATTTTCAGGTCTGGTCGGTCATTTACGCTGGCATTGTAACTCACTATAATTAGGCCTTCCCATAATACTTTGAGTTTCCTTACAACTTCAATCTGTACATCGAGGGTAAAATCACCCTGTTCCACTGTGTGAGGCAGGGGGGAAAACAGCAGGGAAAATATTGCGGACGAAAAAAGGACCAATATGCAAAATGCGATGACCTCAAGGTACGCTAAATCAAAAATATATGCAGTATTCAGGTCTGTTTCAACCAGCATTCAGCACTTGATATGCCTAATTATTGTCTTTTTCCCCTTTAGAATTACAGTTAGCATTAGACTTAGATCAACTCATCAAGGAAAAATCTTGCAAATTCTGCACAGTTCCGGGCAGCACTGCCGAAGTGGTCTTCATACCGTGCGGTCATATGGAGATGTGCAAGGCCTGCGCAAAGTTACACCTTGGGGTTTCGCAGGAGTGCCCATGCAACTGTGGAAAAACCATCACAGACCACATAATTGCGACCATTCCAAACTCGGGGTAAATTCTAGATATGAGGGTAAGTCACTAGACAGCCGTGTTTTGTTTGTCGGCGCCCCTAATATGTACTAGACTAGCACGGGACACTGAGTGTATCTTGTTTGTAGTGCTGGATACAAGATTAGCCTATATGAAATGTGACAGACACAATAGAAGGGCGCTGTTTGATTTGGATAAATTCTTTTGTATTTAACCCAAACCAAATAGCGCACTCCTATTGTTTCGGCAATAATAATCTCAAAATGGGCTTATATCAAGCAACTTGATTATAATCATGATCGTACCCGAATATTAGAGTGGGGACATATTTCTCTAAATGAGTGTAGGTCTACGTTTATTTCCTTTTAAAAAAGATTCCCATTAAAATATTCACTGATATGTAATAATTTGAGTGCATAAATTTAATTATGATCTCGGAGAATTTATTTCTGGCATATTTTCTGGGGTGCACTCTTAATCCTTTGACAATAATGTTTAATCGCCACTGAGAATCGGGAAATTAGCCTGCTGATTTAAAAAAAATTAAACGTATTGCAATATACCCCCCCAAATGGCGATCCATTCGTTATAGGCATTTTAAGCTACCATCCTGTTTCTTTTTTAACCCTAAAGGGGCCAGGGGCGGAATCCGCCCCCCCCCCTCAACATTTTCCGCGATAGCCTCTAACAAAAACATTTTCGCGACCAGAGCTGTTACGACTTTTTAGCCTCGAGCTTTGCACATCTTTTGATACCAATAACATAAAAATCGGACCACGGGTTGCCGCGTAGCGAAACATTTTCCGTGAAAACACAATTTTCCCATATACGTCGTGTACACAGAGCAGAATTGTCATTCGTACATATGAATAAATAATTAGCCATAATTCCAAAACCCTTTGACCTATAGTCATGAAATTCTTGGGTATGTTTAGGAATAGTTGCTCTATGCATGTGCTGAGTTTCAAAATTTTTCGTCACTTGATGGCCGAGATCTTGGGGGGAATCCCCCCCCCCCCCCCGGCTGAGAGATGGTCAAAATAACCCAGCCCTTTAGGGTTAACATGTTTTCGATATTAGAAAGAATTGTAGCAAATCGAATGTATAACTTTATGGATAAAATATAATATTTTGTCATCGGCTTAGTACGGCTTTAGAGTCAACTATTCAACTCATTGGCACTTCTACTCATTATTTATGCAATCCGTCTTTTTTGTACCCCCCAAAGAACAATAGACTATAATATTTTGATGAGCAAACCGTATATGGAATTAGAGGATTTTTTTTGGATTGTTCAAAAACTTTTTAAGTGACGGGAAATATACAGCACCACTGTTTAGTGAATATAAAACCAGGTCTGTTTGACTTGTGTAAATACCATCTAAGGGTACTAATGTACACATTTGGAACAAATAATCTACCCAAAACTATACATTTACACTCAGGATAAAGCTAATTCTCTTTATCATTTGTTAGACAAAGGAATGGAATTATTTTTCCCCACAAAAAACTAAAGCTCGTGTTAACAATAAGCCTTAGTTAACAGGTAAAATCAGAGATTTGATTAACGGCAGTCTGCATTTTCTGCACTGAATCAATTACAATGGCGTAAATTAAGAAATCAAATCATGAGAGAAATTGAAAAGGCCAAGACGTCATATTATGCCAATTGAATTAGGAACTTACAGTCAACGGACCCACGGCAGTGGCATAAACTGGTTAAAATAGTTGCCAATGTAACTAAACCGGAACTTTACATTGACATTCCAGGTATTGACGTGAGTGATTTGACAGAGAAAACCAATGCAATTAATAACAGGTTCACAGATGTCTCAGCTGGGCTTCAACCTTTGGATATTTCGCAGTTACCTGCTTATTTGCCTGCCCAGTGTCCTCCTTGCATTTGTCCGTGGCAGGTGTATGTAACCCTTAAGAAACTCAAAATGGGTAAATCTGCTGGACCGGATCAGTTCCCAGCTAAATTAGCTAAGGAATTCGGCTTATAAGCTAGGTATTCCATTGTCTGACATCTTAAATTGCTCATTAAGAAGAACCGTTCCTCTTCAATGGATAGAGGCCATTGTTGTGCCCATTCCTAAACAGAACCCTCCCTGTACTGACAAACTCAGGCCAATATCACTCACGTCAGTCTTCGCTTAAATTGCAGAAGGTTTCTTAATCAGTTGGATTGTTGAAGATATCGGTGATAAGATGTGCATCAATTTAGCAAT